TCCGCCAGAGTGAAGTTCGCCGTTACGAACTTCCACCAATCCTTCGCTCCCAGACGGAGCTGGTTCAAGGCGAACCGTACCCTCAGGTGCTCCGGGCATGAGCAAGTATAGAAGCACCCCTCAATGTCGGCGATCCACCTCATCGCCGCAATCGGATCCTGCGTCCCATCGAACTCAGGGGGTTTCGTGTTGCTGAATTCCCGGAATAGCAACGAATCACCCCCTTGCGGCCTAGCAGCGGCCACAGCTGCGGTAGCGGCAGCGACTGCAGCTTCAGTCAGTGCGGCGTACCGCTCCTCAAACTCCTCCATCAGGGTGGTCTTAATGGACCCAAACATCTCCGGGATCTCAGCCCGAACCGCCGCAGCTACCTCCTCCTGAATCATCTGACGAATCTCCTCGTCACTCATACTGCTCGAACTCGCTCCGTGGCGTGTCGTAACCATAATGTCTCTGAAATATAACATAAGATTATCAGAGACTCCATCAAGTACTGTTGCACTCGATAACGCAACCCTACTCAGTCTCCGACATCCAGGGATTCTTACTTGGGTCGCCCACCGACCCGGTGTCTTCGGTAGTACGGGCCCAATACTACCGACCACACCGTATCAGCATTCGTCCCAAATCTTCCTCCCCGAACCCCGAATAGTGAGTACTCTACTTCTAATATGCACTACCTACCTGCACGCTACCGAATATCTCATATAAGCAATCTTCCTAGACTAAGGCATCACAAAACAGGCCATTCTAGTCCTATCATGTATACCTAGTCTTCTAGCATGCATAACAATTCATAATTCAGTGCATAACATAACATTGTAAGGTATTCTGGGGATCTTTACCGTTCGGGCGCTGGCTGATCGTACACACTGCTTCTTTCTTGTTTACCACTTTACCATTTATAAAAGTTTATGTATTTATTATTTTTAAAAGATTTTTCCTCAAATCCTCGGTTTGAGTTCAGTTACACCCGAAGGTACACCCGAATCCCTCAAACCAAGGCTCTGATACCAATTGTAACAACGCAAATTTTCAAATAAAATTTTCATTTAAAACAAAGTGATTTCATTCAACCAATAGTATTTATTTCATGTTTCATATCAAATACATATATAAAATCCCCAAGATCTCAATTAGCAGCAGTGTGTATGCATCATGCCGGCGCCTTCCCACGGTCCTCGCTAGTACCTGAAACACATACATAACAACTTGTAAGCATAAATGCTTAGTGAGTTCCCCAGTATACCACTACACATATACGCCTTTCCAGGCCCGAACCTTACGGTCCACAGTACAACGCCTTCCGGCCCATGAGATAATCGCCTTCCGGCCCATAATATTTTGCCTTCCGGCCCATAACATATTGCCTTCCGGCCTGTAACATATTGCCTTCCGGCCCGTAACATATTGCCTTCCGGCCCGTAACATATTGCCTTCCGGCCCATAACATATGCAACACATAGTACAATTACTTAAACACATATAGCACATATATCATATATCATACCTGACCTTTCTGTCACATAATACTTTGCCTTCCGGCCCATAGAACATACATAGCATGCATAGCAACTACCTTTTCAATTATAGCATATATATAACACATAACATTCGACCTTCCGGTCACACATAGATACCCTTCCGGGTACAGTATAGTGAGAAGACTCACCTCGTGGTAATGTAAGCTATCAACTCTTGAAACTACTCGCACTCGATCCGCCGATCTGCAGACTTTCTATAATACCATATACCCTTATTAATACTCTTATCATTCAAGACAACTGACCCTAAGAATTTACATGCAGGTCAACTCTGGTCAACGGTCAACTTGACCGGACTCGTCGAGTGCAAAGGCGACTCGGCGAGTCTAGACGTCCTCCCCAATTTTCCCTGTTGTTCCCCTTTCTACTCGTCGAGTATCCCTCTTGACTCGACGAGGTCCTCGTGGAAGAATCGCGGGGCCACCCCGACTCCACTCGCCGAGTCTGAAGAACAACTCGGCGAGTCCCAGTGAATCTTCAAGCTACTCGCCGAGTCTGCTCATCCGACTCGGCGAGTCCATGCCATGCAGTCGATCAACTGCTTCCTGAAACACGTATGGTCCCGAAATACACACTCATGGGACTATCTGGACCTCTAAACATCCTATTACTGGGGTATAAACACTTGGGTAACAACATAATAATCCATCTAATCATCA